TTTTTTTTTTTTTTTTTTTTTTGTAGTTAACAGTATTGCTTTTCCTTCTTTGGTACTGTTCATACTCAGTGAAATTGTAACAACTAAATACCTTGAAATAGCATGAGAATCAAAGTGGTGGAGCATGATGCTACAAGGATTAAAATGACTGCCCTCTCAGTAAATACACACTTTCATCATAGAACACTATAGTCTTCATATTTTAACAAAGACTTTAAAAAATAAATAAAATTTCTAACTTCTGTAGCTAGAAGCCTCTTCTGTCACCTTTACCTGGATAACACATGGTCATCCTTCATACCTTAGAAATTTCTCTGTCAATAAGATCTGTTGTCCTCAGTGTGGCCGTATACCCCCCTAGCTAGATCCTCTCACATCAAGTCCACACACCCTCAGGACAGCTTGTGTATTATGTCTGCCCATCTTTTTTACACTTTCTGTGGCTGTGTCTTATTCTTTATTTAATCTCCAACCCCGAGAACATTGCCATCGTTAAATTACTGTCAAATAAATGAAAGTAACATGGAAGATAATCTATTTGAAGTAACGTAAAGGACATCCCTGTCAAACAGTGAAATTATTTTATTTCTATTTATTTCAACATATTCAATGAATGACTAATATGTTCTAGACACTGGGCAGAAACAAAAATATAGCTATATATTGATCTGGTGGTAGCTGTAGAGAGATCTTCCTAGGTATTGTGTGCATAACTAAAAATCAGGACTACATTAAGGATACGAGAAAAAAAAAACTCACATACAAAAAATATGGCACAATATTATCATAGAATAACTAATTCTTACATTTGAAATAGAGCTCAGAATACATTTAGCTCAAATTCCACCTAATGCAGTTTTCCCTTCCACACATTTTGGCATATTGAGATTTGGATTAAATAGTATAAGTGGAATCATGTGAATATTCTACATTTGTGATTAGCTTATAATGGATCTAAGACTTTAAATGTTTTGAAAATGAATTAACTGAGGCTCAGAAAGTGATACAAGTAAAAAACTGTTGCTGTCTACTTGCTTCAGATCAGGAAGCCACGTTGTCCACATTTATCCAGCTGGGGAAGGTATAGTATTAGACCGTCCTGCTAATTCTTCTTTCCATCAGGCACGGAACTGAAATAAATGTCTTTGAAACACAGCTTCTGTTTTCTTTAAGTTTTATTTATTGTTTTCTTTATTACCAAATCCTTAGAGAACTGAAATGACCATGTGTCAGAGAAGAGTTGATGTTGGAAATCTTTATTTTGAAACATGCTGTAAAACTTTACCTGTGATTTCTAGAGTATACAGATTCCCCTTGATTGACTATAAAGAGTACTTATTTGCCAGGCTTCCAAAAAAGCGTGCAACCTCAACCTAAGTGACTCCTTAAAAACTCAGCTGCAAAAAATATTTATTTAGGCTTAAAAGTGAGTCTAACCAGTCTTGTTTGTCCAAATTAAGAATGAGTCCTGAGGAGATCACCTAAAATAACAGGAACTTTTTGTCAAAATACACTCTTCAGCATCCATGTTGCTGTGGATCCCAAATCCTCCCCTCATGGAATTGTTAGAGGCTTTAAAGAAATCCCAAAAGTGCTTGGCATGATCTAGGATCACAATCAGGAGCTATGTGACCCACATTCTCTTTGAGGATTTGATTGTATTATTTCAGTGCGTGTTTCTAGAAATTAGATATTTTATCTACCACCTCAAAAGTAGCTGGGATCTCTTGTGCCATCTGGTGTGTGAATCCTTAGTCTTTGTCTCTGGGATTGGAATCATGGCTCCATCTTCCTACATGACAGAGCACATTGTGCACACAGCAGTGTCTGGGAATGGGGGAACCTCTTTGGAACCAATGTCCTCTGTGTCCTGTAATAACACAACTTCAGAGGGTCTCTCTTCAATACGTGCAGAATAGTCAACTTCATTCAAGTTCTCTGCTGGTATTGAGCCTGGATATGTAGAAGGTGCCATGGACAGATCACCAGAATTGACTTAACTGAGCTGGCTGACTGGAAAACCTGCCAATGCAATGGCATCAGCCAAATCTAGCACAGCTTTTTTGATCTGGCCTCATTATGCGTTGTGGCAAAGATAGGATTCTGTCTTCTAGCTCCTTCCTCTGCAATATTACCTTGCTGGTAATAAGTTTGGTTCAAAAACTAAGAGAACACAATGTTTCCTAAATATTGTCTTAAGTTGAAATGTGGATTATTATTTCAAATTCTTCTAGAATGGTGAAGTTAACCCCAGCTGGAATATGACAATGATTTGATGATTTTCTTGACTCTGGGCATCCTGTAACTTGTGTAGAACATCAAAGGCTGTGTCCTTTGTTGGGGAAATGAATGGCAGGGACAGTCTACACCTAGATACTAGGCATCTACTCCAGTCTGTGCAGCTACTTCCCTGTGATAAGTTTTGATCTCTGGATAGATAATTTAGTAAATGGTTTTCCTCTTCTTGTCAATCCAGAACCCCTGTGTTACACAGATCCTTTTAATGTGAGTTATTCTTAATGCCTCATATTTTATTGATTTCATAAGGTATTTTGTCAATATATGTGAGAAACGAAGATATAGAAAAGGAGAAATCGGAGGGAGGGAAAGAAGGAGGGAAGGAAAAAGAAGAGAGGTACGGAGAAAGGGGAAAGGAACTGGAGGGAAAGAAGTAAAATGAAATGGGAAATGGGAGAGGATATTGAAGCATAGTGGAGAGAAGCCGAATCCTGCCCTGCCTCGCTGTCTCTGCCCCACACAGCGTGCTTCTGCTTCCTGCCACGACTCATGGAGAGCCGAAATTCACTTTAATGTCCTTCTCCATTTGGTAACTCTCTGTTATTAAAGCTTAATCGATACCATATTTGGCAATTGTCTTCTTGTGTTTCAGATTCCTCCACATCAATACTTTTTACCTTCCCTAAGTATTCATGTCCATCCTGATTCTGTCCTCGGGCCTCTTCTTTTCTTACTGTGTTTACTTTCCCTGGGAAGCTCAGCCACCCTTTGGTTTCAACTACCATTTGGACTCTTGTTTCTGCTTAATCCACTCTCTCTTCAGCACACCTCTCCCCTAAACTCTAGATTTCTATTTTCAGATGATTACAGGCCATCTTCACCTATGCATTGGTTCACCCATAACTCAGACTCACATATTTGAAAATCACCTTATTTCCTGATCTCTGTCTTTTCCATATGAAATTTCACAAGGAGTTTAATAATCCCGTTTCTGAGACTGGAAATTCTCATCCTTCTCTTATTACTCATAATCAACAGGTTACCAAGCCCTGTTCATATTAATACCAAATTTCTCTTCCTTCCTTCTATCTTTTATTTGGAAATAGAATAAGGTGGCAAATAATGTAAAATACCAGTAAGATAAATAAACATGGAAGCCATAATTAAGGAAATACCAATAAGCAATTTCATATTAGAAATGTTACATTTTTTTTTATGGCTGAGCAGTATTCCATAGTGTAAATATACCACAATTTCCTTATCTAGTCCTCCGTTGACGGACATTTAGCTTGGTTCCTTATCTGCGATGAACATGAGTGCAGGTATCACATTGACATGATGATTTCCATCCCTTTGGGTATATACCCAGAATTGGGATTGCTGATAGTATGGTAGCCATGCACAGAGGGAAAAATACTGCATGCCCTCATTCATAAGTGGGAGCTAAGATAGAAAGATGGAAGGAAAGAAAGACCACAGTGTTGCATCAGACTTGCAGAGGGAGAGAACGTACCTAGGGTTGCTGAGGGTGTGGAAGGGGAAAGGAGGCAGAAGGAGGATGGGAAGAGGCTGTGTGGGGTACAGGGAAAAATTTCAATTTGTGGTAATGGGCATGCTGATAGTCTTGATCTGATCATCACATCTTGGGCACAGGTGGTGACAGTCAGCTTTGTACCCCGTGAAAATCCATAATCAATAATAATTTTTTTAAAAAGAAATATATTTTAATCACAGTTGTTGAGAAAAATAATATGAAAAAGAAAAACTATACTATAGTATAAAAGGAAAACTATATAAAATGAAAGTATACATATGTATGCATATATATAGAGATAAATGGTAGAAATGCCAATAAGTAATATATTCAGTGCTGTTATTGACTTTATAATAAAGGTAAACAAATTATGAACATAGTACTTTTATAAATGACAAGTTTTCTAAAATTTTTGTTATTGGTTTTACTTGGTTTTAGCTGGCCACTGCGGTTCCCCAGACCCAATCGTGAATGGTCATATTAGCGGAGATGGCTTCAGCTACAGAGACACGGTGGTTTATCAGTGTAATCCTGGTTTCCGGCTTGTGGGGACTTCCGTTAGGATATGCTTGCAGGACCACAGATGGTCTGGACAAACCCCTGTCTGTGTCCGTAAGTACACTGCTCATGAAATAATTCATCAGACGCTTCTTTTTGTTACATTTCCTTTTGTTTTGAAGGATATGCTTGCAGGACCACAGATGGTCTGGACAAACCCCTGTCTGTGTCCGTAAGTACACTGTTCATGAAACAATTCATCAGACGCTTCTTTTTGTTACATTTCCTTTTGTTTTGAATCCATAATACAAACATGTTTAATCATCAGAGTAAAACAGACTAGAGAACTCTAAATTTTACCTGTCCAAAGGAAGAGAATACGAGCACTATCACATTCACTCTGTTCCTTTTTTGATCATCTTCTCATCCTGTTTCCTTCTAATGCCTCCTCCAAGGCTCCTGTCCACATTTAGTTTGCCCATTAATTCATTTTAAATGGATCCCAGGAAAAGTGATATCATGTATGCATTTTCCTTGATTTTATCACAGGATGTACTAGGTGGAAACAAAGGCTAATTATATATAGGAGGTTAAAGATGCTGAGTCTGAGTCTGCAGGTTAGCTTTGCAGGTTCCTAAAAATAGCCATACTCCCTTCATCTTCTGTTTTGTTTGCATTTTTGAATTTTTGTCATTGTTTCATCAAGAATACAGAGTTTGTAAACAGTCCTTCCTTTAACAGAAAGAGGCGAAATTATATGTAACATTTATCCTCAAACTCTGTAACTTCAAAGGTAAATATTGACTATTATTTTTAGAATAAATGTACCCCCTTTTGAAAAATTTCTTTAAAAACAATTGTTTGTGGGGCCGGCCCAGTGGTGCACTGCGCTAGTGCGCCGCTTGGGATGCAGGTTAGCTTTGCAGGTTCCTAAAAATAGCCATACTCCCTTCATCTTCTGTTTTGTTTGTATTTTTGAATTTTTGTCATTGTTTCATCAAGAATACAGAGTTTGTAAACAGTCCTTCCTTTAATAGAAAGAGGCAAAATTATATGTAACATTTATCCTCAAACTCTGTAACTTCAAAGGTAAATATTGACTATTATTTTTAAAATAAATGTACCCCCTTTTGAAAAATTTCTTTAAAACCAGTCGTTGCCGGTCCCGGTCCGGTATGGGGGCGACACTGAGGGTTGCGATCCATTGCCGGACATAAAAAAAAAAAAAATTAAATAAAAAAATAAAAAATAAAAATAAAAACAATTGTTTGTAATATATTCTTTACTTTTCTGAGAATTAAGCACGAGAAATGTTGATGTCAGTGTGAAATAGTGACAGGTATTATCTGTAAAAAATGTACAAAGTTCAGAGAGGAAAGCTTTACTTAGAAGAAAAAAATTGTTGGCAAGATAAATGAGGAGGAAAACACCAGTTTTATGACTGTAATGTGTTTCTTTTGAAAGGGCCAATGATGGCTGTCTCCCTGCTCTGTGTGGCATTATTTGTGGCATGACATAATGACACTTCACCATATATCACAGGAGCATACAGTAGGGATTGTCAAAGGAAATACTATTTGAGTGCACAGTTATTTTGCTAATTTCATGATGTTTTAATAGATATTGGAATAATTTATACATAGACAAAACAAACAAATCTCCATATTGTTTCAAAACAAGAGTTTCACAAAATCAGCTGGTGTGTACTAGGAGGAAAATACTCAAAACTCCTGATTAATGTGTAAAAGAATTTCTAGCATCTCTTGTTTTTCACTGCCTCACTTTTAAATCATTTGGTATCCTGTCATCATTTGAGTAAGAAATAATAATTTTGATGATGAAAAAGGTACGTTTCGCAGGTGTTGATTATTATCCACAATTATAATAAAAGCCTGTAGGTTCAGCCTGTGGTTCCCAATATTCCCTTCTAGATATAAATGCCATCTGTAAAATGTCTGAGTAGTCAAAAACCCTTTAATCCATACATTTAACATCTCTGTGTATTTATTACTAAATAATCCTGAGTGAAAGTGACAAGGTATTTAATCTTTGACAATGACACTCATCTGTCCCTCTCTACAGCCATCACCTGTGGTCATCCTGGAAACCCTGCCCATGGATTTACGAATGGTAGTGAGTTCAACCTGAATGACGTTGTGAATTTCACCTGCCACACGGGCTACTTGCTGCAGGGTGCATCTCGAGCCCAGTGTCGAAGCAATGGCCAGTGGAGTGGCTCTTTGCCCACGTGTCGAGGTAAGGAAAACCTCCAGGAAATGAGCCCTTTGCTCTGAGAGTGTAGTAGGCTGATTCATACATCAGAGAGCCTGTCACAATGAATCAGGTTTGAAGCTTCACCTCAGCGGTGGAGGGTTCTGCAAACTCTCTTCATTGGGGTGTAAAAATGTTTTTGAGCAAAATACACAAATCTCTCTGTGGACTTTGTCCTCTCTCATGGTCAAATATTCAATACAAAAATCTAGGATTCTTTCCTTTAAAGATAACACATCTTCCATCTCTCTTTTTATTCATTCATTCACTTCCACCACGTACATTCAGCATTCTTTAGCCCTTAAGCTTCTAGTCTTATGAATGTATTTATGAAGTTCTTATTGGTTTTAAATCTAAATTATTTATTTTTGGTTTATTTCTTTATATACTGTCACATGGACCTGGACTATAATCTGAGTTTTCAAGAATATTTTGTTCTGTAATTTTTGTACTTCTAGGTCTTTGAATTTATAATACTTAAGATTTTACTTCAATTTCTTTCCATTGAAACATCTCCATTATTGATGTTGTGTCATATTTTAGTGTGAAGGGGAGGTCATTTTTTTATGGGAGTAATATGATATTAAAGTCAGATGCTTATAAATTTCTCTCGCTCTGAGAAGCACCCACTTACTACAGGGCTCCCAAGGGAGCTCTATTCAAAGAGACAATAGCATAAAGGGAATCCAAGCCAGCAGTAGCTGTGTAAAAATTGGCTACCCTACTGCAGACTTCTGGCACAAGTCTAAACTGGAGTGCTTGGCCGAAGCTCAAAGACTAAGTAAAGCCTCCTAATTCTACTTCCCTCTAAAATACTAATGTTAGAATCAGAATGTTCAGGAATTTGGCCAAGATACTAATAAAAGCCAGTTTTCTCAGCCCACCATAGCTCAGAACATGAGGGAAACCCAGGGTGAGGAGATGAATCCTGCCTCAGAAGTTGTGAGGGGGACATAGCCTAGACCTGCTCAGTGTGCAGAGGGATGTGTTCTCTCCCTCAGGAGCCCGGTGGCAGCGGTAGCCCCAGGCACATGGGTGAGCCTGCTCTGAACAACACATTTTATCCAACAAGGTCCCTCTCAAAAAAAAAAAAAAAAAAAAAAAAAAACCAAGAAAATAATTTTTTTTCACCTGAACTACACCTTTCTTCTTCTTCCATTACCTTTTTTATTTTGTTTTGTTTTTTATTTACAATAAAATTACAAGGAAGAATATCTTCTGTGCAGTTAGGGTTGAAATGATCTCTTCCACTTAGATTTTACAATCACAGCAAAAAATAAGAAGAAATACAAAACACTCAACTATGGTCTCAATATAGCGTAATTCAACCTCTTTGGCAGTTGCGATTTTACAGGAGATATCTATATACAGTAATGTTTTAGTAAGTGTAGATCAGCGACTAGTAAAACAGGCTGTGCAACTCACTGGACCTGGCTTTCACTCCACCTAAAGACCGCGCAGCTCCAGAGGCAGCAGAGCTGGCTGCCTGCCCAGGTTTGGTATTTTCAGCCAAACACTCCCCGTCCCCTAGGCTGCTCAAAATAATACATGTGGGTCAACTTTCAGTTACTCAAAGTCTCTCAAATTCACTAGCCCTGTTATGTTTGGACATTCATAAGCATAACAATGTGCTCAATTTTTAAATTTAACAGCATTTTCTCTGTAAGAATTCATTATTGTAAACATCATAGATCTTGGTTTAATTTGTAATTTCTCACTTTTTTGTGGTTAAGCTCAAACATGTTATAGTTACATTTTAATATGATAAATAGTTAAATTTTATGTTAATATGGATTATTTATAATGTATGATATGTTCTGCATATTATTTTTGTCAGGATAAAATGCTATCAATTCTCTTTTTTTCCCCCCATTAAGGTGCATTTTTCTCTGCTAAATGAGTAAATAATTTTGTAATAAAACTTTTTATTTTGAGATCGTTGCAGATTCCCATGCAGTTAGAAATAATACTGGGAGATACTTTGTATCCCTTACCCACTTTCATCCAATGGTAACATCTTGAAAAACTAGAGTATACTGTAACAACCAGGATATTGACATTGATGTGGTCAAGATATGGAACATCCCATCTGTTGCCCTTTGTAACCACACCAGCATCCCCTCACCTATACTTCATTCCTGGCAACCACTACCTGGTCTCCATTTCCGTGATATTCTCACTCCACGAATGTTATATAAGTAAATGGAATTATACTGTATGTAGCCTTTTGGGATCAGTTTTTTTTTTCACTCAGCATAATTCATCTAAGTTGTTGCATGTATTGGTAATTGAGTTCTTTTTTCCCCCCCTGCTTAACAGTATTCCAAGGTATGCATGTACCAATTTAACGGTTTACCCACTGAAGGATGTCTGGGGTTTTTCCAGTTTTTTGCTATTGTGGATAATGCTGTTATGAATCATCATGGACAGGTTTTTATGTGATCATGTTTCATTTCTCTGGGAAAAATGCCCAAGTATAATTGCTGAGTCCTGTGGCATTTGCACATTTAATTTTATAAGAAATTGCTAAACTGTTTTCCAGAGTTGCTGTACTATTTGATATCCTTACTCCCGATTCGTGGATGATCCAGTTTCTCCTCATCTCCTCATCTTCTCCAGCATTTGGTGTTGTCACTCTGTTTTATTTTAGCTATTCTCGTAGATGCGTAGTGGTATCTCTTTGTGCTATTTATTTGCAATTTCTTGATGGCTGATGATATCGAGCACCTTTTCTTGTGCTTCTTTGCCATCTCAAAATCGTCTTTGGGGAAACCTGCTCATGTCTTTTGCCCAGGTTTTAGACTTTGGATTTTTTGTCTGTTTTTACAGGTTAAGTTTTAAGAGTTTTTTTTTTTTTTTTTTTGTCTTTTGTCTTTTTCCGTGTCAGGCAACGGATCGCAACCCTCAGTGTTGCCCTGGTACCAGACCGGGGACCGGGAACGGGATCGCAACCCTCGGTGTTGCTCCCACGCCTCGCTCAGCCAGTGAGCGGGAACCGGTCTGCAGGTGGGATCCGAACCCTCGGGCGGGAGCGCCACCGCGCTTCCCAAGCGGTGCACTATCCAGTGCGCCACCGGGCCGGCCCTAAGAGTTTTTGTATATTCACTCCACTAGGCATTTCTCAGGTTCGTGATTGGCAAAATTTTCTACCAGTCTGTAGCTTGTTTTTTCATCCTCTTAACAAGATCCTTTCAGTAGCAGCAGTTTTAAATTTATCAGTTTTTCCTTTTATGGATCATAGTTTCGATGTCAACTCTAAGAACTCTGCCTAGACCTAGATCTTGAAGATGTATTCCTATATTTTTTCCTAAAACTTTTGCATTTTATATATTTAGAAGTCTGTGTTAATTTTTATATAAGGTGTGAGATTTAAGTAAAGGTTCTTTTTTTATTTTTATTTTTTTCTTTTGCCTATCAACATGCAAAGGATATGGGTTTTAAATAACTAAAAAGAAATATTGCCAGGAATTGCTTCTGCATTTCTAACCTGATAAAATAAGGCAAAATTAAAAATTGAATTTTATGGAAGACTGTAACTAATTTTCTAAATCAGACATTTTTTAATCAATTGGCCCTATGAAAACCTTGCTGTGTGGTTCTATGAGAATGTACTCACTTCCATATAAAAATATACTATTGGTTGGTATAGTTTCTACCTTTTCCACATGTGAATTATTTTACTTAAAAATTTTAGTAGAAGCTTTTGTTTTCCACTGTAAAACATGTCAGTAGTGTAACATGAGTGGGTTATAATGGAACACAAGGACTACTCATTGCTCATTTGGGGACTTCTCACTACACCCCCAGCTCAGTTTTCAGTGTGAGACAAGTGCCTGTGGCCTCCTCACAAAAGCGGCAGTTGCAAGAGTGAACTTCTGCTTGTGGGGAAAAGAATTGAACCATTGCAAGAAAATCTTGCTCTGAAAATAATTCTCACTCATCAATTTTCTTTAATAAACCTTAGTATTCATTCAGAAAGATGGTGAAATGCTACATTAGATTTGGCATTGATTTTATTCTACTGAATGATCCCAAATGACTATTTATGGAAAATCACTGTATACATTATTCCATTTCCCATGTTGTACAGATACTGCTTTCTTGCTTTTAAAACCACAGTTGACAACATCTTAATGTTTTGTCTGCCTTCTTCACTGAAATGAAATAACTTCAGACCAGCATTTGTTTGTAAAAACAAAGACAGCTGAATTTTTCATAGCTACACTCCACCCACATCCTAAAATTCCAACCACATTGATCTTTTAAAACATTAAAAACAAAAACTTACCTTTGTATTTTAAAACAGAGGATTAGATCTGTACAATTCAAAGAGACCTTCAAGAGTGTTCCATTCAATTTAATGAAAATTCAGCTTTCACTTGTTTGTAGTAATATAAGACATATCCTTCTCTTAAAATAATTGAAAGCAGACTTTCTAAAAAAATATGTCCACTAGGCATTTGCGAGTTCCTGAGAGTTGGGTCTGTTACTGTCTCTGCCCCAGTGCGTGGGTTCCACAGGGCCCACTGAGGAGCTTGAGTATCCGGGATTTTGGTATCCACTGGGGTCCTGGAACCAATCCACTGTGTATATACAGAGGGCTGATGGTTAGATAAATACTGACAGAATGACTACACACACGCGCACACACACACTAAAATTTAAACAACCTGGTGTTTTCTTCTATGGAATACCAAAATTATATTCATTTTGAGATGTGTGAACTTACTCATACATCTGTTTGAGTAAGTGTTTGGTGTTTAAGTGTAAAATAAACAGAGCTGTCATTGCTCTGACGTGTGCTTTTCAAGCTCAGTTAGCAATGAAGTGTAAAAACATTTTTTTTTTTTTGCTTCTATACTTAACAATAGAGTAGAAAATCACTTCAGGTTTTCATGTTTGTAGCATTCTACTTAATGAAATTTCCCGTGGCGTTCGTATTCACTGCCTCTTTGTAATAGATGCAACTCATTAAGAGGACTAAG